TATATATATATATATATATATATATATATATATATGCATATAATATTTGCAATTTCAGAGATACATGTTCACTTTCTTTGTAGTTTGACAGTGATACATGTTTGGACTACTCAAATATATTCTTAACAATCCAATTATAAATGCAATTTCAGGTACTGTGCAAACTTAAGTATACATTAAACAACCAACAAGTGAAGCATGTGAAATATTTTTCATTTCATACCTTTCAAAGGACACAGACTTCATTCTAAATCTCGATCACTTTATTGATATAGGTCTACTGAGACGGACCTAAAATTCCTTAAAAACTATCTCTTTGCATTTTGATACCAATGACAAAGAGGCATCACCCATATCTTTCATATCAAAATTTTTTGAGAGAAATTATTTCACCTCATGTGACAAATATTTATCAGTGGTTGCATGAAATATCATCCATATAGAGAATTAAAAATAAATTTTACTTCCATTAATCATTTAGTATATAAATTGATCTATTACATTCTTTATAAATCCAAATGAAGCGATTACAACATCAAACTTTAGATAACATTCACGAGAAGTTTTTTTTTTTAATCCATAACTAAACTTCTTTAGCTTACACACCAAATGTTCATTATCTATAATCCTTTTGGATGTTTCATATAGAACAGTTATAGTTATTTATAAAAAAACAATAGCTTCAAATCTATTTATTGCAACTCTAAAACAAAATGTGAAATAAGTGTCATGATAATTCTAAAAGATTATTTTGTAGATACAATGAAAAAGATATCCTTGTTGAGAAAATCATTTAGCAACAAGTCTTGTTTTTTATCTTTCCTTGTTTTCTAATGAGTATCTCTTCAATCTATATGCAAATTTAAAACTTAAGACTTTTACAACATTAAGCAACTCAATAAGATCCAAACTTCATTATATTTCATATAATTCACGTCATCTTTCATGATATCAAATCATAAATCAGATTTCGCTAGTCTGGCCCTTAAAAATATACAATGTAATCACTAGGAATTGTTGATCTTCTTTCTCTAACAGATTTTCTATACACGTCATCTTTCTCACTAGGAATTGTTGATCTTCTTTCTCTAATAATGTATTTTATTTACTCATTTTGTTTCTCTTTTATCATATAAAATCTATATTTTTATGAATGAAATTGGTCATGATCTTTAACTTTCCCCAAAAAAAAAATAAAAATAAAAAGCCAAGATAACTTACATCAATAAGAAAAAAGAAAATATCATGAAATCATATTAATTTTATTATTTAATATCATTAACTCATTAACTCTAATGTTTAATCAATAGAAATTAATATATATAATTTACTCACAGTAAAAAAAGCTCGAATCTCTTCTTTTGTGTGCACATGAGGAAGCGAATATTACATATGATATTCGCATATACAAGTCGATAATATTATAACAATACTAACAAATATCATCACAATATCAACAAATTCATTCATATTGACTATCACTCATAATGCCCACCCCTAGCTCCTCACCTCCGATATCCCATCTCTCTCTCCCCCATCTTCCATCCTCCCAAAAGACCCCACCTTTTGAACGCCATTAATCCCTCCTCCACCACCACCCACCTTCTCCTCTCCGTTACCCATCGGCGGCGCCGCGCTCTCCCTGAACCTAACATATATATCTCCTTTATAAAACTTCTTCGTCCTCACCACCAAAACCAGCGAAATCAAACTCCCCACCACCGTCGCCCCCGTAATGATCAGAAAAGATAACTGAAAACACTTCACCCCCATGCAAGTTAACTCCTTTCCATCTCCCCCCGCTGCCCTGCTCTGCCTCTCCGCCTCCTTGTCGTACAACCGCCCTGTCACCATCACATTCAGAACAAAAGACCCAATCGGGCTCGCTATCCCCCCCAAATTGTACAGAGTCGAGTAATACTTCAGCCCAAAAACTTCAGAGATGATCGCAAACAGCAATGGCCACTGCGCGCCGAAGCAGAATCCGATGATGACGGAGGCTATGTAGAGCGTGTTGGATACCCCAAATGCTATCAGAAGGTGCCCTGCGCAGGCTAGGAGAAGCACCAGAGTAAGCATGAGAGGGCGTGAGAAATTGTACTTTTCTAGCAGGATTTCAGACAGGAATCCGGCGGCGAGTCTTCCCATGGCGTTCCAGATGCTGATGAGTGAGACAAAAGTGTTTATGCTTTTTGAAGGGTAGCCTAATGACTCCCCAATCTGCCCCATGTTGTCGATGGCTGTTAAGGTTCCTCCGACGCCGCAGATTGTTGAAAAGAAGAGGACGATCATGTCGATGCTGAATAAGGCTTGGAGGATGGTGTAGTCTTCCCCTCTCTCCGGCGGTCGGAATACATCGGCTATGCGGGCGAAAGGCGTCGACTTTGGCTCCTTTTTCTCTATCTCAACGGAGGTTTCATCGTTTTTAATGGGGATCACCGGGGACGGCGGTGGAAGTGGTGGCGGCGGTTTAGTTTCGCCCTGCTCCAGCTGAGCTCTGCTCTGCTCCTTCAGAATATTGAGTTCTTCGTTGATGACGACGACGATGGGGAGAAAGAGAAGGAAGATGACGACAGCGCCGTTAGCAATCTGCTCCGCGCGCTGGAAATTTGTGATCTTGTCAACTACAATGATTACAAGAAGGTACCCGCCAAGCGCAATCGTGAGATACAGAAACTGGTAAAAAGGTCTGGTTTTTGATTCGGAGCTGCGCACCGGCTTCATGATCCGAATCGTGTAAACAAAGAACACTGAAATGGCGGCCGGAAGCCAGGCGATGAATAGCACCAGCGACTTCGCGTCGTCCCCATAGAAAGCGGGATAAAGCTGCGTGAAAATGGCGCCGCTGAGTCCGACGAAGCATTTGAGCAAACCGAGAACGATTCCCCTGCTTTCGGGAAAGTTTTTCACGCAGGTGACGAGAGCGCCGGTGTTGGCGAAGGTCTGGGAGTTGGCGCCGATGCAGATGAAGAGACACATCTGCCAGACGGGGGGGCGGGGAATGCGGGAGATGATGGAGAGGTAGATCATGAGGTAGCCGAAGAGGTTCATGGAGGCGCCGATGAGGAGGACGACGAAGGGAGGGCAGACTTCGTTGATGAGGCCGGAGAGGATGCCGACGTTGCCTCCGAGGTCTTTGAAGAAGGAGATGGTGTTGAGGGTGTGTTGGTTGTAGTGGAGGGAGGATTTCAGAATGGGGGAGTAGATGCTGAAGATGTAGGTTGCTCCGGCGGCTGACATGATGAGGAGGGAGGCGTAGACCATGAACCAGCGGCCATGGATTACCTGGTTGGAGACGTAGAGAGGGCTGCCGGGCAGAGCCATTCTCTCTCCCTCTCTCTCTCTTTCTGAATTTGATTTTCAGAGAGTGGGATGGAGTGGGAGGTCCGGGGAGATCGGGAAGGATGGATATGAAGAGGAAGGAGAGAGGATTGTGAGTCTTAAGGGGCTAAACTGAGTTGAGTTGAGTTCCATTAATTTTATTGTGTTTGAGCTCGAGTCTATGAGTTTGAGCGAATTGACGAGCCGTTTTATTTGTTGTAGAAGAGAGAAAATGGAAAGAAATTATTTGATAAAAATATAGATTTTTTTTTTATAAAATATTTTTAAATTAGTAAAGGTAATTTTTTTTAATTTAATATATTGTGAATATATTTTATACTAATATTAGTATTTTTCTAAACAAACCTACAAAAGAACTGAGTCAAGCCGCGAACAGTTTGAGCCTGGATCCGCTCATCGAGCTGAGATGTTGAGTCAATTGTCGAGCTCAGCGATTCATGAGTTGGCTTGGCTCGTTTGTCCCGTAATGATAGTGAGAGAGAGAGAGAGAAAAAAAAGAGCTGTTTTGTGTCCGCTAAATTGTGTTCATTGACTTTTCTTCTGACTTAGCAAGCAATGGGAGAATGGACCTCTGTTTTCCGATTTAGCCCATTAAAATCTGGGTATTTGTTATGCTAAGAAAATATTAACGGTCTGATTGAGGCGGCTTATAAGTGCGGGCGGCATTTTAAAAATATCGTTGTATCGTTTGGTTCACGCGTTTCGTCAGCTTATCCGAAACTGCGTTTGAGTTTTTACACTAAACGCAGGTCGCGGGTCGACCCCTGCGGCCGGCCTGCGTCCCGCGTTTCAGGATAAACAACTTATCCTGGAATGCACAAGCTGCCTCAAACGAACCCTTAAAATTTGAAAATTACTAAACTTAATACATCTCATAATAAATCTAAAAAACATGATCTAAAATGTAATTAAAAATTTGTTTTGAGCATTTATTAAAATTTGAGGGTGGAAGCTGAGAAAGTGCTGCAATCGTCTTTCAAACCGTATTTTATTGAATTGAAAATTCTTCGCGGGTAAGCGGATGCTGGCCGCAATGATTACTGAGATGGGGGAGGGTTTCTTTCAAGCCTTAATTGCCCTCTTATAATTACCTCTGCTCTGCACTTGTCATTTATTGCTGTTTTTATTTAAATTAAATATAGAATAAAATCATATCTTACAAGCATATGCATACAACATATACAAGACTTCAAATTTATAATCATTTAGTTGAAAGTTTAAGCACTCAACCAAAATATTAAAATGATTTGTATTTCTATCCAAAAATTTGTCAATAAAATAGGTAATTTCCCCTTATTGATTTCCCTTTTCTCGTTCCAAGACCAACGCCTCGCCAATAATGTGTTATGCATAGTGTCATGATATACATATGGAATAACAAGTATAAATCTCTACCTTTTTTTTGCTCTACTAGTGTTTCCCTTTCTGTCTTCTTAATTTTCCTTTTTGAAACATGTGCTGCCTCTGATTTCTGCTTTACTTCATCTATTTGATGGTTTTAGGACTTCAGCCATTCTGCATGCCCTAGTGCCTTATAGTTTATGTTTTAGTAAATAATAGTTATTTACTCTGTTTGATATAGTAAACTCATTTGATGGTTTTAGGACTTCAGCCATTCTGCATGCCCTAGTACCTTATAGTTTATGCTTTAATAAATAGTAGTTATTTACTCTGTTTGATATAACAAACTCATTTGTTGATATTTTTGTATAAAAAGTTTCACCAGGTCGCTCAAATGATCGTCGTCACAGGAGCAACTAATTCATCATTTAATTTATTTATGGTATTTGAGTTTTGTATCTGTTGTATTTATTAGGTTTGGCTATTTTCCTTTATGTAGTTGTGTTCCTTCTTTATCGTTTTTAATAGATGTTCTACTCTCTTATTAGCCTATTATTCTTCATTCAATTGTATATTTTGCTAACTCTACTTCATTAATGAAATAAATTAATATTTTGCTACTTATTTTCTCAATTCTTTATATGAAATCTAATCTTTTCAGGATGCAACACAAGTTTATATATTGTATCACAAAAGAAATAGATGAGATTTGTATTGTTTTGGTAGATAGATTTTGAAGGACATCATATTAGAATTAAATATATTTTCTTAAAGATTTTATTTGAATGGAGATTAAATTATGAGGAATATATAATTTGAAATCTAGCTGAAAATAATAATACTTAATTTTCTAATCAATGATTTTCTTTCGATCAGACCCTAAAATTATATATTTGTTTGGATCGCGAAATTTTAGAGAAAAGTTCTTGCTACATTGACAAATGCACACCATGTATGTAGTGTTGAAGTTATGATATTGAATATGTCAAATATCTAATATTTAAAATTTATTTTTTTAACACTTATAATATTCAAAACTTTCATATCACATCAAAAATATTACTCACTATTCTTTAAAGAATGAAACACTTATTTCATGTATAAATAAAAAATGATATAAATGCAAATACTAAAGTTTTTCATTATTTTAGTTTCTCTTTTATATTTGATAGAGTCCTTAAGTTGTGTCTGCATCGGAAAAAAGATACGGGCACGAGTCTCAAGATGGACAACTCATCGAACCACTTGACGTGGACCAAAAACGACAGCTCGTGTCCCGTACCTTAACTCTGAAGTTTCTATATTTTTGTATAGATCTAGGACCGGACATATATATGGTTCCTGTTTTTCTGAGATGTGTTGCTGATCCAGCGGTGTTTTGTCCTCTTTTATATATTTTTGAGTGTTTTTACTCTTTTGTTGTTTGATCTTAGACATGTAAATTCATAGGAGTTATGTGGCATGTATGAAAGTCATTTTCCATTTTGTTGAATGGAATGGGATGCCAGAGGAGAAGTGGCCAGCCATACATCAATAGAAAGAAATATTGTAATAAATGAGCACTAAAACAGTTGAAGGGCAAGACAAGCAATGAATGTGAGAGGTGACTAAGTTTTCAGTTTTGGGCAACCGGCAACCCCGAATGCGACCATTGTCAGCTCCGGTGTCTTGACTCTTGATCTTTTATTTTTCCAGTTAAATATTAAGACATTGCAATTGTTAGCTAATAATTAATTCTTTTGGACTTTTTTTTAGAGAAGATATTGGTTGGCGGTGTTTACTGTAAGTTTTCTCATGTCACGGGTTCGATCTCCAGTGATGCTGGGTTCTCGAATATTTAGGCACATGATGCGGCTCTCATCATGGGGCCTAGCGCATGAGAAAACGGTATTTAGACCTCTGTCAAATACTGATTTCTTATATATATATATATATATATATATAATCACAGATTTAATTTTTTTATATTCATATATACATAAATTTTAATTTTAATTATGTATTAGCAAAAGATAATATATTTAATTTTAGTAAGTTGATATTCATAACCTTGTTGATTCAAATTAAAAGTCAAAATAATATATAAATATTAATAGACATTTTGTGATCTTTCATTATTTAATTGGACAGCTTTTGCAAGCTCACTATTCTTCTCAAGGTTAACCTCTGTGTTAAAATGGTCAGTCATTTTGTTAGTTTAGTACGACTCAAGAAAAATTTGCTTCAAAATATGTATTTTTGTTTCTTTTTAATCAAATTAATGTTTGAAATTTTGTTATTACAAGAAAATAGCTAATGATATATTAGTTACATAGAATTGATAAAAATGATATATAGTATTTTTTTTTCGAGAAAAGAGAGCCTAAAATATAATATGTGTGATTTAATTTATGATCTTGGAAACTATACTATGAATTATTAAGCCGATGTAAGTGTGCTAATGCTTTGGCCAGGCAGTGGGAATCAGCCCCATGGAGGGGGAAAAAATTTGTCACGTATGCGTACGTCAGTAGATTACATTGAGGGTATTTGAGGGTTCTATCCGTGTTATACCCCATGTAATCTTTCTGCAACCTTCCTGTAACCTACCTGTAACCAATAGAAACGCGAAACTTATTAGAAGGTACATATAAGTTACAGGTAGGTTACATGGAAGTTACAGGGGTATAACGCGAATATATACCCCCCAATACCCTCCATGTAACCTCCTGACGTACACAACTCTGTGTACGTCTTACGTACGCAAAATTTTCTCCGTTTTCCACAAAATTCTCGTGCATTTACATTTCCACCTTTTAAATATTTTTATGTGCACGTACGAGACACTCAAATTTTAAGCATCAAGTCAAAAAAATCACTTAAAAGTAAAATATACTTTTGGGATATTTAGATAAATAGCACTCAAATCCCATGTATTTACATATCTAACGTCTACATTTTGTTATTTTACATTTGTATATATCACATCAAAATATTATAATTTTAACCTTCAAAAAGTGAAATATATATTTATATGTCTTCAAAATTTTCTATATTTTTTTAACTCAAAAGTGCTATAAATATAAATATAAAAGCAGCAGGATTGAATATGTAAATATATAATAATTGTGTTATGTATGTAAATTTTTCCTTAAAATTAGTCAAAGTCGCCTTGAAATTCCGCAGCATTCCACACATCGTGGAAGAAACATTTTAATACGTACGTACATATTATAAATAATAGTCAGTTGTCAATATGCTGCCCAGCCTGTTTTATTTTTGAGTAAAAAGCAAAAACCTAATTTTCAACTCATATTATTATTATATGTAATGCTATTTTTTTAAAATCAAAATAATGAGAATTATGATATTTTAAAATAATCTATAAATTTACATATATAATATTTACAATTAATAATATTAAAAATTGTATTATATGCTAATGCATGTTAGAAGATTCGCGGCGGTAGAGTAATAAATTATTGTTTTAACATAATGAATTATCATCTAGCGTTATTATCTAGTGTTACACAGACTCAGATGAAAAAAAAATATCAGTAAAGACGCCAGAAGTTTTTACGTGAAAAACTCGTAAACGGGAAAAACTTGGGATCGACATAGCTAAGGAAATTCACTATAAACTAGAAATTACAAGTATGATTATTTATTCCACAAAAGGGAAACACTTGCACAATCTTTCGAGCTATAAAGTCGGTGAGCGGATAAACTTGTCGTAAGAAGTGAACAGCGGGTAGTGATAATCGATAGCAACTG